CAATGAAGGATCAGGCGGTTCTGGTGCAGATTAGAGTGCTATTGTATAACTTATTAATCGCTAGTATACATTAAATTCCATAATTTTCAGATTTTTTCAGACTGTATTAATAGTGTAACTTTTAAATATTTAAATTTTTAGAATTTTTAGAATTATTTTTGAGAAAAACTGATTTCTCTTTAACAAGACTTGAATGTTATACGTTAATTTTGACTAGATTCAAATGTAGATTGTATAATTTGGATATTTAGGCAGTTATACTTTAATTTAAAATACAGAGGAGTGAAGGTTAAAAAAAAATGCAAACATCGTATTGATTTAATCTATAATTGGTAATAATTGTAAAATTTAAAAATTATATTAAATAAAAATAAAAACTTTGGTTAGAAATTAAGGATAATCTGCAATAAATAATTTTATATTTCTAGATCACGACTCTTTTATGATTCAATTCAAATTTGACTATCTTTTAACTCAAATTAGAATTTAGGAGTTGCAAATTAAAATATAATGATTATCGAAGTAATAAAATAAATGATTCATGAAATTAAATTATATTAGAAGTATTACTGGTAATATGGCTATTCGTGAATCATCAATAACTCTTAAAAACCAATTAATTTCATTTTGTATTGATGATAATTTGGACCTTTTGATGGTTGTTCTGCTAAATAAGAATCATATTAATAAGGATTTACATTTTTTATTAAAGGAAAAAGTCTTATCTGAGATACTAAATGGGTATAAACAAATTAAATAATAATTGTGAACCAAATAATATGATGATGCAGATAATATGATGGTTGTAATTTAAATCAATCAAAAGTAACATATCTGTTAATTATTATACTTTAGAATAATATTCTGAAATATTTACTAATATCGATAATAATCATTTAATATATATATAATTCCTAAATTAATTATTATTTTCATTTTTTAAACAATCTTTGCGTAAATATAATTTCATTTGTTTAATCTTCCAAGGTAGTTCAGTATTCACTATCTTTATTTTAAGCACAACAAATTTAATTTCTATAAAATTTATTGATTATACAACAGCAAGTTCGATATTTTTCTAACTTTGATTAAATTAATGTAATTGCCTATGTTATTTATTAAAATTTAATTTTCTGGATTTTAACTTAAGATTTTATCTGAGTTTTCAGATTACTATTTACTTCTATTTCTGATTCATTTTTAATTGCAATTAAAATATTTCTAAATTTTAATTAAATAAATTAGTTTAAAACTCATTTTTATATTTTGGTAACACATATTTCAATAAAGGTGAATTTTTCCTTCAGCTCTAGTAATTATTGTTCTAAATCTAGCGTTCCCTTTTGAATATTATATGGAAGACTACTTTTTAAATCTAAAGAAAAAATACCTATAACAACAAAGGTATGCAAATTGAGTATAGGTGTATTTTGAATTCAAAATTAAAATACTATAATTCCAATTTAAGCATAGATGTTCGAAATTTTAGCAATTTTGTAATTGATTAATGTTTTGAAAATCAATTTTGATTAACGAAAGTTAACTTGAACCTTCAAATAGATTCAATATTAAAAAATTATAACTTTTTGTCCAGTAAAACTTGTTTTTGAAGTTTAAAACATAGGATTTACAAAAAACTAGAAAGCTTTTTATTAGAAAATTAAGATATCATTTATAATTTGTAATAATAAAGCAAAAAATTAAATTCATATTACTTTAAGAATTAGAAAGTTATTATTCGATTGGATTTGATAGTTAACTAATGAAAATTCTCCATAAAATTGACAAAGATTTTCAATAATACTAAATAAATAAAGAATAACAGCATTATTAAAATGTTAGAAATGAAAATTTATCATTAATTTTTTTAAATAATCAAAAAGCCGAAGATTATTTAGAAATAGAAGCAACATAAGAATTCTTTTATATATGTTGATACTGTCGATAGTATAATATTTGATTATTATGAGATAGAACCTAAATATAAGTTTTAGTTCTTATTATTTCAAAACAAAAAACTACAGGAATGTAGAAAAATTATAGTTGATTATAATTGACTTCAGAGAATCTGCATCAAATAACCAAATCATCCATATAAATTTCAAATTATGATACAAAATAGGATGTGTCAATAACATCATTTTATTATTGTTATTTGTTTAAAGATTGGTGAAATATGTCTTATATTAACATTTGAAGCAGTTAGATTTTTTAAAGCTCCATATGTAGATTCATTCTACTTATTCAAAGAGGATTATTTTTAATGAAGCCCACAGAGTTTAATGAGGAGCTATCCTTCAAAAATCATGAAATTTAAAAAGGTTTAATCCACTCCTATACTTTAATTAAAATAGCCTAAATTTTATAGAATACTTTCAATAGCAGATTTTCTATTGAAAATAGGAGCAATAGATTCTTATTAATAATATTTTTCTATGCCTTTATTATTGATTAATCATCACAGAGAGCTATACCTCCTATCCTAATATTAAGCAGGAGCGCATAAGATGTACAATTACCTAGGCCATCAGAAGTAATAAAGTAGAAAAAAAAATTAAATACTGTATTTAAATTAATTCGAACTTGAAAAAGTTAATTAAAATATTTCCAATAAACTAAAGTAAAAGTAATTCTCAATAAAAAGAAAAAACTCCAAATCAAAACAATAAAAATAATTTCTTATTAATATTCAATTTTACTTTAATTTTTTTGTAATCAAAAAAGTGACTTCCTTTAGATTTTAAGAATGATTTTAAATCCAGATCTTAATAATTAGTAAATTCTCCGTTTGATATGAAAGAACTTTATGCTTAAAACTATGGTGTCTGAGATATAAGGAGGTTTGTCATATTAGTATTAACTATATAAAATTAAAAGAAATACATCCAATTGGTAACTTATTGGATTATAATATTGAAGCTTTATATTAATCTAATGTCACAGATTAACTACTCTTTCTTAATATCCCATAAACGAATTGAGTTATCGTCGCTTCCTGATGCTAATGTAATGCCATCAGGAGAGAAACAAACTGAATTAGTATGACCATCCAATTCTGCTTTTTATTATCCAATCTTAATATTCCATGAACGGATAGAGTTATCAAAGCTTCCTGATGCTAATAAAGTGCTATCAGGAGAGAAACAAATTGAGTAGACCGAATTAGTATGTCCGTTTAATTTGGCTTGTTAAACTCCTGTCTTAACATTCCATAAACGAATAGACTTATCTCCACTGCTAGATGCTAATTGAGTTCTGTCAGGTGAGATAAAAACTGAATTCGCGCCACTATTATGACCCTCTAGTTTATTCAATTCAGGAATTTTAATATTCTTGAATTTACAGTTCATAAGTAAAGCCTTATTCGAATTCACTCCGTTAATATTTACATTATTAAATTGTGATCCACTTAAATTACATCCTACAAAATTACCACCTATTAAAGAGGTATTTTTAATTTTTATATTCTCAAAGGATTAATTATGTAGATTAACTTTCATATGAACTTATAAATTGAGTAAATTTGATCTAATTTAGATAAATTTTTTATCAAAAGCTAAAAGCTGTTATACGAACTAAGAATATTAGAAATTGAATAATTTTTCCTCTTCATAAAATTTCTTAATTAAAATTTCTCTAGTTTATTTGTAGGCTTTTAAGGAATAGTCAATTTAATTAAATCCATGCCCATGAATTTTTTTAAGAATTTTTGTAATTAAATTAATGTGATTATTTTCAACATTTGAGATCTTAGTCTGACTATTTTCTTGTCCAAAGTGCTGTTGTATTTCATATTTTGAAAGAAAATCTAGACAATCACTTACGTTCTTACTCATAAATTTTTTCATAATCACACCTAATATTGTTTCATCAATTTTTTTAATTGGGGCCAGAATTTCATAAATATCTTCTTCCTTGTAAATCGGTCCTAATTATAAATAGATTTTTACATAATTTCCCTCTCTTGGTTGTTAATTTAATTATTTATATATTCAAACAAGTCCTAGCATCTTTTGAACCCAGGTTAGAGTTTAAATTAATCTTATTTTAGGTTGACTTTAAAATTAATATCCATATGGATTTTCTTAATCTTTTCAATCATTGTTATTGGATCAAAGACAGAAATTTTTTTTGAGATTAATAAATCTAATACTCCTAAGATGCTGTATTAAGATATAGTATCAATTAAAGTAGTGATCCAATCTTTTGAAAGCCAAAGTAGATAATCGACTTATTGATTAATCTTGTTTTTAATTCATATATAATTTTTTGAAAGCCTTCAATGCATTGAATTTAAGGCTTGATTATTGTCGTATAAAGCAATCTTTTCTTTTTGTTTGTTATCAAAGCTTTATTTGAGTGATTGATAATCCAAGATCTAAGCAGTATGGAAGACATGACTTGCACAAGAGCCTTTAATCCCTTCTTAGTTAGGGATCAAGAATCACACTTTCAATTTGTTATTTGTGTTGCTTACACAACAAATCTTTTTCTTTTTCTATTACTTTTGGTTAAATTATATACATGAAATTTAAATTAAAGTTGGAATAATATTTTATTGCATAGTCTAAATTAATAAAAAAGGAAGGGATTCTTTTTTATTTATTAAATCATATCTTCCAGAAATCCTCCATCCAATCTTCTGTTTTTCTGTTTGTATTCCATTATCCAACAATTATACTTATTAAAATTGCCAAATTTTAATGCTTTTGTTTAAACCACTTACCATAGTGGATTTATTATGATTAAATGCTAATGAATGACACCATTCATTTTATTTAACTTTTTAAACTAACTTATATTATAACTGGTTATATGGTTAAGTTTTTCCATAATCAATTACTACTTCTGAATTTAATCCCTCTAAGAAATTCTAATTTAAACTTAAAGTATTTTAAGCCTAAAGTCATGTTAATTATAACATTGAATTAATTTAATTGTTTTTTACATATAACATTTTTATTATTGTTTTAAAATTGTGTTTTTAGATGATAATACTTGAGGTAAAACAACATTTTGATTTAATATCCTTTTACACTTGTTCAACACATCTTACCTTTATTTTAATAATATCTTTGCAATCTCTAAGAATGTTTCATTAATAATTAGATTGTCTTTGGCAGATACCTTAAAAACTATTTGATTCTATTTTATTAGCACCACTATTTAACCAAATGATTCTTGCATGTTTCATCATTCTCTTCAAAGTCATTTTTTATGACAAAGATAGGAAAACTTTTTGGATCCTCTGTGTTGCTATATTTCAAAAACAAATTTTTCCGATGATTCAAAGTTTATATCGGGTTACTATCTCTATTATCAATGACTTTTTATCCAATAAATGAGACTTGTTAATATTTTTCATGACCTGGTTCATCCCATATCTAAAGTTAATTTTTAATTTTACCTAAAGAGTCACCATTTGATTGTTTATACTTATATTTTTTTTTTTATATCTATTCCTAGTAAAGATTGTGAATTATTTATTTTAGAATTTAAATATTCTAAGATAGAGATCCTTTATTAAAAATTTAAAAAAGGGATGCCAAAATTCAAACTTACTAAAATTCTTTTCTTAAAATTTAATTTAATGAAGTAAAAAACTTTGTATTTAAAAATTACCTGAAATTACAATTTTATTGAAAAATATTTTTTTATACTTAAAGATTTAAATTGGCAATGTTTATTTAAACATTTTAACCAGCACCAATCTCTAAATTCTCTTAAAAATGAATTTCTCTAAAAAATATTTAGATAAATTAAAATATCTTTATAAAAAATAAATGAATGTAAGCCAAGACAATATATTAAGTGCATTCACTTAGCAATTAAAATTTT